AGATGACATGATGTGAATTGGAGCTATAGAAATAAACTGAATAGAATTGAATTAAATGATTGACAGGTTTTAATGCTCTACAACCACTAGGGGGCAGAAATGCAGCAAGTATTGCACACAGTTCTGAATGGATTAAATATAACAGCTTACATCACGTTCTCTATGTGACATCAGCAGGAAGAGGTGCTGATGATCCCGCCTCTAAAGAGTTATCAGCCAATCAGAATCATTTTAGATAACCTGTCCGGACCTTTAATCTGAAAACAATCCAGGCTATGTGGTCTTTAAAGATAAGCTGAAGCTGAAGGTAAAGCTAACCGAGGTAGAAGAGGTCATTGGTGGTCTTGTTGAAGAACCAGTCTCCGTTGTTGTTGTCGCTGAAGCTCAGCGGCGTCGACGAGCCGTTCCTGTCATCGATGATGCGGAAGCTGTCAGGACTCTGGGTGAAGTTGTGCCTGATGATGACGAACTGATCCGACTGCAACGTGAGGGGAAATCAAAGCGTCAGAAGGAGCGGGTCGGACCGTCGCCTCCTCCCATCGATTCTCACCTTGAAGCCGTAGAACTTGGCATCGTAGGTGATGTTGGTGATCTGGTCGGCGTTGTTGAAGAACCAGTTGTACGTCTGTCCAGACGGCAGCAGGGCCATCCAGCCAAACTTATGGGTCATCCTCTTCTTCAGGAAGGGAACCACACTGGTGCCTGAAATAAACACAGTGCATGGTGTTGATCTGCTGCAGTTACTGCTCAGCACCAGCAGATGGCGGTAAAGGCTTATAAAGGCAGGTCATGGTACCGTGAGAGTTGGTCAGGATGACATCTTTGGCCTTCAGAGAGGTCGGAGTGGGGTTGTTGAAAGCCAGACGATGGAAGCTGACGGTGTGATCGCAGACGGCTCCTGGAAAACCGACGCTCCACTCGGCACTCAGGGAACAGTGGGCCGGGTCCAGCAAGCTGCTCATCGGCACCACTTTATGGTTCATATTACCTGCAAACAATCATGGAGCTTAAAACATCCACTGCTGTTCTAGATAATCACCAACTCTGCAGCCGTGGGACATCTGGAGAACATTTGCTTCATTCTAAGACTCTTTAATCTTCAAACGTGGTTCCGATCAACAGTTCTCCAGGTTTTTGGAACATTTTAAAGCTTTTCTTTTCCCTCTAACAAACAAGGAGGTTTTTTTCAGCCCTTCTAGATTAATAGATATGGAGTCAGAAAGGGGTCAAAATCTTGTCAGGATTCCTGTCTGTGTGTTTTTATGTTTCTGTATTTGTCTCCCTTCCTCCACCAGGAGGCGCCTGGTTCTGGTCCGCCTCCACACACACCTGCAGAGGGTTACCTCGTTAACGGAGTGCTCTTAAGCTGCTGACTGCCACTAGCTCGACGCCAGTGTTTGCTAGTTTTGGGTACTCTAGCCAAGCTGAGTTTTTCTGAGTCAAACTGAGTTTTTGTCAACCTGAGTCTTAACCTTGTTATTTTGTCTTTGCCTCTCGGCAGGAAGTCATCCTGCAAACTGGATTTGTCGGACCTTCTCTCCTTGGAAGGATCATCTGAGCTTCAAACTGAGCTGAGGATTCAAACTGGAGGTTTGGATCCACTTCCCTCCAAGAGATCGTTTGAGTTTCACACTGAGCAAGGGATTAATCTGCACCACAGTCAGTTCAAGTACCGCAGGAAATCTAAGTGGCAGTCAGTTTCTCCGTTCACCTACAAACAATTGCATTCTGGGTAAACCCTGTCCGTCCTCCATCGAAAGAGACAAACACTGGAACACCCCCACACCGACTGGAGTCAAAGAGTCACCCACTTTCCTGGAAACGTGAGTCAGCATTCTATTTCTCCTCTTCAAGTTCGAGAATCAAATTTCCCACTGAGCCTGAACTAACCGCAGCGTCTTCCCCTCACCTTTCAGGTCCGGTTGAGCAGTGTTCAGAGCAACACTGGATTCTTCACAATCTCCTAAATAAACCTGTTAAACTTTTTCCCTGGTCTCTCTGTGTTGGTTTACTGCTTTTGGGTCATCATAGTTAAAATCATGACAAATCTTTGTAAACCTATAAATCCTATTTAAAACAAAAAGTTTTACCTTATGATCTGAGAAACTAAAAGAGCAAACAGAAAATAATAACAATATAATTTAAATCATAAAATCGAAAGCTGGAATAAAGAAATAAAAAAAGAAAAAGTGTAATTAAAATACTAAACTGAATTTAGATTCATATCTTAATATTTTATGTTTGTTTATTTAGTTTTTCAAATTATAAGGAAAAATATGGTATTAAACATAGACTTCTATTTTTTTCTGTTTGAATTTTTTCAGTTTCAATTAAGATTTATAAGTTAACAAACATTTTGACCCTTTTCTGACTCCATAAATGGACAATTATTGAAGAACTATAGAACAACTAAACTAGAATCAAACATCTTAGATTTAGACTCATAAAGCTGTTGCATAATTTTTATTTATTCTCTCCAACATTTTAGGACCTCCAACCACTGATGAAGACCATTTCTGGGTCTGAGTTGTTTACCTGTGAGGGAGCCGTCAGCATCCACCAGCTGGACTTCGTGCTCCCACCTGAATCCGGCCTTGTTGGGGGAGCTCCAGTACTGGATGCCGCTGAACCTGACGGCCCAGCCGCCGCAGCGGTCTGTACACGTCCCCACGATGGACGTCACTCCGATGGCCGAGCAGTTGCTCCGGTCAAAGTTGATGAATCGAGTGTTGAGGACACTCAAGCCGTCGTCGAAAGGCGTGATGACGCCCCGGTGCGTGCAGTACTCAGGCCCCAGTCCCAGCTCGTCCACGTGGGCCACGATGGTGCTGTTGGACACGGTGGCCCCCCCATCCTCCCCGAAGCCGCTCACTGCCCAGCGGTAGATGCGCTTGGCTTCAATGCCGGCCTTCTCGTTGTTGACCATGACGAAGCGGTTGAACTGCACTGCGCCCACGTTGACCCACTCGGCGCCTTTCTCACAGTTCCAGGTGGTGAGGGAGTGGAAGACGGCGGGCTCTGGAGTCTTGGAAGTGCAGCCTCCATCCTTCATGGGGTAGAATTCTTGGAAGATCCAGAGTCCGAACCAGCCCTGGGAGTGCACCGTGTTGTTGGAGAACTCGCCCAGAGGAACCCTCTTCTGGCAGATGTTTGGGTCGTAGGACGGGCCGTCGGGGTGGTCGTGCATGCGGTACCAGAACCCAAAGTGGGTCCCTCCTGCTGCGGCGTTGTGTCGGATGATGTTGTTGGGATTGGTGACCCAGTAGGCAGCAGGGGTGACGTCATCATTCAGGAGGCTGGTGCTCTGCTTGACGAACACAGCCAGGTTGTACTGCAGGATGTTCTCTGTCTCGATGCCGTCCTCGATGAAGAACGCTCCGCCCATGATGTCGTAGATGACGTTGTGCTCCACCAGCAGCCGGTGGGTGTCGTGGATGGTTACGGCCCTGTTGAAGGTCTGATGGATGGCGCAGCCTCGGACATACGACTTGTAGTTGATGTCTCCCATCAGATGCCAGTGGATGGGATACCGGCCGAGCCTGAAGGCCTGACCGGCGTGGAAGATCTGACCGAGCACAGAGGAGTCGAAGCTCAACAACATAAACATGCGTTTGTAGTATGGGCCAGAAAATCGGGAAAGCTTTCAGGCATCTTACCTCCACGTATTCCAGTCTTCCCATGGCGAGGTTCTCCCCCGGCCTGGGAGCGTGGAACATGATGCAACCACCAAACTGATCGCTGCCCATTTCCTCTCCGAAGCGGCCTTGGAAACACGTCTGAGTGGCAAATTCACCTGCGGCCCCCAGAAAGGATGAGAGTGACTCAGAAAGCACAGCAAGATGGCAGACTCCAGAAAACAACTCCGGATGAAACCAGGAAACAACAGTAGCGTTCTGCTTCATCCAGCCGGTCCCTCACCTGTGTCGAAGCCGTCAGGACAGGCTTCGATCTCGTCACTCCACTCTAGGTTCTGGGAGCCTCGGACCACGATGTTCCTGGTGAGGAGTCCCACCTCGGCTCTGCCCTCAAACGTGGTGCCGTCGGGCAGCGTGACCGATACTCCCAGGTGGGTGAATGTCAGCGGCTCGGTCAGTGTGAGAGTTTTTCCGTTGGCTGACACCGAGGCGATCGTTCTGACTTCGTTCTCTCTCTGGCTGTGCCTGAAAACACAAATATTCAAAAGAGCTCAACTCAAAAAGCAATTCCTCTGTCAGGTCTAGGCGTTTCACCTAAAAACAGACGTGGAGAACCAAAAGCTGTTTAAGGAGAAGACTTTGACTAGGCCATTATAGCAGGGTGACCTTTTTTAGCCGTTCTGTTTGAGTTCAAAGTTCTGTGGATGACCAGCTTTCCACTGTTTGACAGATGGACACATTTGAATCTAGAGCAGGGTTTCTTAACCCGGGTCTTCAGGGACAAGAAGAGAGGGACAAAACCTAGAACAGATAATGGATGTCTATTCTATTAACATTTATCTATCTGGAGAATAGGGCTGTTCTATGTGTTGTCTTCTTTTGCCTGTCTTTGCCTAGAGCCCAAAATTTCCGAAATCCACCCCTCCCTGTACCTGTGGCCGGTGGAGGCGATCACGATCTCATCTCCAGGTTTCCATGTCACTGCCTTCATCAGAGTCAGCGTGATGGCGCCACTTGTAGCGGTCTGGGCTAAATGTGTCCATGGGACGGGAACAGGAACACCTGGAGAAACAGGACGTCAACAATGAATCATTTTTAAAAGGTGAGTTCCTCATAATGTGGATGCTAGAGGGTTGGAGACTCTGATTACTGGGTCTATGTAACAGGAGCTGGAAGAACAAGAAACGCTCTGGGTTTCTGGGACATTTAGGTCACGTCAGTATCAGCTGTCTGTCGCCTGAAGACTGATCCCACTGAGGGGACGGAGCCGTCTTCTCTACATTTAAGTCATTCATTTCCACATTTTAACATTTTTAAAAGAGCTCAGAACTGGAACCTGGTTCTGCTCTCAACCTGACCCGTCATCAGACATGGACCTGGATCTGTCCAGATGAGATGGACGATGATGATAAAGCTTCTAGTTAGAGTGGCTCAGGTTATCCTGAGCTATCTCTATAGTTCTGCTGCTATAGGCTTAGACTGCTGGAGGACATAGGGACCCCTTTTTCATCCTTCTTTCATTTTATCTTCATGAT